TCGAACTTTTTTTGTGGTGGATTCTATTTGAGGTGATATTGGTAAAGAATGACCTATTTGGTCTATTGATTCCGTGTTAAACTCATCTAAGTTTGTTCCGTTGTTCAAGAGATTGGTGAAGTAATATTCATATTCAAATGATTTCATACGTAATGCCTAGAATTCAACCTAAACATACATTATTCATGTAATTTTACCCACAACATACTATAACAATAATTCTAATAAAATTTCAAATAATACAAGTTAATAGTAATTTAACACTCATCCACTTCAAATAACAAAAACCAATTGATAATAGCAATTCAACCAAAACATTGTATAAATTTAAACACAAATTAATAGTAATTTAACCACCTATTTAACCAAAAATTAATAGCAAATTAACCACCTATTTAATCACAAATCAATATCAAGTTGACCGCCTATTTAACCAAAAATTAATAACAATTAACAACAAATCAATACTAATTTAACAACCTATTTAACCAAAAATTAATAACAATTTAATCACAAATCAATACTAATTTAACCACCATTTACCCAAAAAATCAATAACAAAAATCAATAAATCAATAAAGATGGGTTTTAGCATTTAGTTGGGGAGCAACTGCCAGCAACAAAAAGCAGCAAGGAATGGAAGGGTAAATGAATACTTGGTTGTTCACAGTTAAAGAAGTTCAGAAGCCAGCAAGGAGCAGCAAGGAATGGAAGGGGAGATGAATACTTGGTTATTCACAGTTAAAGAAGTTCAGAAGCCAGCAGCAGCAAGGAATGACGAGCAAATCTAGCCTTTCCAGATCTGGCGAGCATGAAAACCTCCTAAATTTTGGCGAGGAAGATGGCTAGTGAGTTGAAGTTATTTTAGAGTGAAACTCGCCAAAATAGTTAAAAAGGAGAGAAAGACTAGTGGGTTGGAGATGCTCTTAAGTGACATGCTCTAACTCAACTCAAGCCACAATGACCATTTTTGTTGAGTTTGAGGGAATAGTCAACGCAAACCTAAACACCATGTAACAAAATTAAAAAAAAAACAAAAACCCTCATCTTGGTTCCACGTGGCAAATCCAAATCCCAAAACTAAACACACCCAAAAGAAAGACAGAAGAAAGGGGGGGGGGGGGAAGACCTTTCAATTCTGACTAGAAAATAAATAAGAGACTCCGGGCATGAAACTCCTACCATTGCGAAATTTGGGATGGTCTGATATAATAATTACAAAAATAAATAAGTTTTGAATTTAAGTGTAACAATTAATATTCTTCAAGACAGATAATAACACAATCCAGGCAACCATGAAATCCCATCCCATGTATTGAATGCTGCGATGCTAGATGTGTGTCCAACCAAAATGAATAGCTTACAACCTAGTAAATTCTCTCTGCTGTGGAGACTGGACGCAGGAAGACAACAATGGCAGTTATGTTATCTTTGCCACCACGTTCAGCAGCTTCAGTCGCCAATCTCTTTGAGCACATCCCAGGCTCTTTCACAGTGTCCCTAATTATGCTTACTACTTCTTCATTGCTCACAACATCCAGAGCCCATCGCTAGCAATTACCTGACAGTCAAAACACATACACTTCAGCCGTTGAGGCAAATGCTGTCACAACCATTATTTTTTTTAATAAATCAAATTCAAGCCTCCCTCCAACAAAACATAAAACAACAGTCAGTTATTCTCGGTTTATCTTTGACAAATGACATGTTTTCTTCCCCAATTGGTTCCCATCAAAAGATTGTTCATTCTTAAAGCAATACATGAAATTCTATTTAGTTCCAAAAAGTGACAACGTGCCATTGATTTCTTCATTGCAGCTCACCACAATCTTGAAAGCTTTTCAAAAATAGAGCCCTTTGAGCAAAATCCTATATTTGAAAGCACTCGAAATGAAGTCATGAAATGGAGCACAATTAGCTAGAGAAGCGCATGCAACATGCCAAACTGAGCAGCTTTTGACTGGAGTGAAGCCTTTCCTTTTCAACAATCTAATATGAAGCCACCACTATCTGATGATTCTGAACCATTTCTTAAGTGAAATAATAGTATCCAGCATTGAATAACTTTCAATTTTTTCCTACCATGTAAATTGACTATAGTAGGACTAGTTGACTGCTCTGACACAAACATCCAATTGCAAGAAACATTAATGGGAAAAAAAAAAGAGAAAAAAATCTTGGACACTACTGCAAGAACTGGTAAGACTTTGCAAGAAAAGCAGAAGAAATAACAAATGTATATCCAGATATGATTAGAAACCATCTAAGAAAAATATATTCCTTATATTTCTGGTAAACATCTACAACTGAACAAAGCATATGCAAAGTCCAACTTTGCAAATTTTGTCTTAAAATAGTAGCACTTGTAGGCAATTTTAACGACAAAACAGATATAGTGGACAAAAAAAGAACCGGTTCTGAATCTTCCACTGTTTGTTTTGGGCTTTTAGGAGAATGGAGGTTCAATCGTGATCAGAAAATGGCCCTAACACCTGAATTAAGTCAGATCAAGGGAGATGGTTGGTTTCAAGAAAACCTAAGAACTTTTTGGGAGTAGGCCCATAACCAAATAAAATTATAGCTGGCCAGGTATGATCCTTCTTTTAAATTTCAAACAGCCTCTTACCCAAAAGTAATATTTATCATTGCTCATATCAAACTGATTGCAGCTCTACCCGAAATTTAATTGCATCACAAGCACATGCATAACTAATTAATCCCAGATAAGAACAGTTTACCAAATAAAGGTTCTTACAATGTATTCATCCTCCACAGACAGAATGGTCTCAGTAATCTCAGGTTCAGCAGTTACAGCAGGCTTTAGATCATCATCACCTATGGAACGTGTAACCTGTTAGAAGAAGAAAAGAGTCAAGAATCTAGACGTTAATAATGAATTCTCAGTGACAACTCATGCATGTTTTAGCAGTTAACCACAATATGCGTGTCCAACTCCACATATTATAGATCGCATATATTTATTTAGTGAGCAAAGTTTCTTCAAATCCATTATGAATTGTCTGTGTGATGTAGGACAACTTTGTAAAATAAAAATAGGGACTGTTTAGGAGCTGTGAACAGTAACCGCGAACAGTAATGAGACTGTGAACAGTAATTTTGGCTAGGAATCACTCCTAGGATTCCGTAGGCATCACACAACTTAAAAAACATGTAATTGCCGAAAATTCTGAATATCTCTCTTCATCTATTATTAAAAGTAACACTAACTATATATAGAGTTTTAAGTAATCCTAATCCCAAAAAATTAGGATTCCAAAGTCTCTACAACTTCAAAGACACTAAGTCCCTACAAATTAAAAAACTAAAATTAATTAGAACTAGGACTTTAAATTCTAGAATATTTAATACTAGAATTTGACCAAAAAATATGACTTATTCCAAAAATTCTGAAAATTACAAAAATACCCCTAACACTAAAAATATTAAAATGACATATAAAATATTAATACTAGCAAACTAACTCAAAGCAACTAAAAATAAGACTCTATTTATGCTTTATGCAAGCTCCCAAGTAGACTCCTCATCATCCAACATGTGCCAAATTAAAGCTCGAGCCTTGGAAGCATCTTTTTCTCGTCTTCTATAAACTTTGTAAGGTTGTTGCCATTTGTCCCCATCATCTCTCCCCAGCTTAAAAAAACTCGACCTAGGCGAGTTAAATGCATGAAACCGTTCATAGAAGTCAGGGTTTAGACATTGAAACTCATTATCAGTGATCCACATGCAATCAAAAAGTGGACGCCCCTTCCATTTGATGAGATACCTTTGATAGCCACCTCCTCTAGTAGACACAAGTTAATGATCAATAACATCTTCAATCTCTTCCTTCACCTGTGGAGCTAGTGGGAGTTTAGCAACAGTAATATCTGTAGGTGTATCATCATCATGCCCTCAATATAAAGATCCTCAATATTGAAGACATTACTTAGCCCCATATTTTCCGGCAAGTTAAGAACATAGGCATTAGAGCTTATTTTCTTCATAATCTTGTAAGGGCCAGCACTTTTTGAATGAAGTTTCTTGTATGCACCCTTAGGATACCTTTCAGGCCTAATACGGACCATAACCATGTCTCCTTGAATTCAGCAAACTTTTTTCTCAAATTAGCATGTACTTTGTAGCTGTCGTTGCTTGTTGTAATCCTTCGTTGCACTTCATGTATCTCATGCATATGTTTGGCAAAAACATCAGTTTCAACACTAGGACGAGCCTCTATGGGTAAGGGAACCAAATCTATTGGTTTCCTAGGAAGTAAACCTATCACAATTTCAAAGGGGCTACGACCTGTAGATCGATTAACAGAACTGCTATAAGCAAACTCAGCCATAGGAAGTACGTGGTCCCAATTAGCAACATGATCACCAACAAGGCAGCAAAGGAGATCGCCCAAACTTCGATTAACAACCTCCATTTGTCCATCAGTTTAAGGATGAAAAGAGGAGAAAAACTTCAGTCTTGTATTCAGCAATTTCCATAAAGTTCTCCAAAAGTAACTCATAAATTTCACATCATTGTCCTAGACAATTGTTTTAGGTAGCCCATGAAGACGAACAACTTCTTTAAAAAAAGTTTAGCAATATGGATGGCATCGGATGTCTTTGAACAAGGAATAAAATGAGCCATCTTCGAATATCGATCCACCACCACAAAGATAGAATCATGACCCCGAAAGATTTTTGGCAACCCTAGGACAAAGTCCATACTTAAGTCTTGTCATGGTTCATGAGGAACAGGTAATGGCATGTACAAACCTATATTTTTCTTCCTTCCTTTTGATATTTGACAAGTCCGACATCGAGAGACAACTTTGGCTACATCTCGCTTCAAACTTGGCCAATAATAACCGTCTTCAACCATGACAATGGTTTTATCTCTTCCAAAATGACATGCTACCCCTCCAGAATGCAGTTCCCGAATCACTTGTTCACGTAGAGATGTGTTAGGCAAACAAAGACGAGTTCCCTTGAAGAGATAACCGTCATGCAAAGAAAAATCTGAATATGTTACATGTTGTCCAACCTTCAAATCAGTATATATATTGCAGAAATCTTTACAAGATGGGTAGTCCCTTTTAAGTAAATCAAAGCCTACCACTTGTATAGCCATTGAGGAGAGCATAAGCACCTTTCGACTTAGTGCATTAGCTGCCTTATTCTCAACACCGGCCTTATGTTTGATCACAAAAGTATATTCTTGCAGAAAAGAAATCCATTTTTCATGTCGATGATTCAACTTCTTTTGGGACTTGATATATTTAAGTGCTTCATGGTCGGAGTATAATACAAATTCCATGGGAATGAGATAATGTCGCCAATAACGAAGTACTTGCACCACAACATAAAACTCTCTGTCGTAACTAGAGTACTTTTGTTTCGCCTCATTCAACTTCTCGCTAAAATAAGCAATAGAATGGCCTTCTTGACTAAGTACACCACCAATTCCCACATGTGATGCGTCACATGCTACCTCGAACACCTTTGAAAAATCTAGAAGTTGCAAAACTAGAGCTTCAGTCATTCTCTTCTTGATATCTTCAAAAGCTTGAGAGGCAAGCTTGGTCCAATTGAAGTGCCCCTTCTTCATACAATTAGTGATTGGTGCCATGATGGTGCTGAAATTTCTAATAAAGCGCCAGTAAAATGTGGCCAGCCCATGAAAACTACGGACTTCATGCAAAATGGAAGGAGTAGGCCACTCACGAATAGCTTTCACCTTGTTTGGATCAGCTTCCACACCTTTAGAAAAGATAACAAAACCCAAAAAAACTGTTTTCGGACTCATAAATGAACATTTTTTTATGTTTATGTACAGCTTCTCTTGACAAAGAACTCTCATAACTTGTTGGAGATGAAGAAGGTGCTCCTCCATAGTCTTGCTATAGATTAAAATATCATCAAAGTAAACAACTAAAAAGCGACCAATGAATGGTTGAAGTACTTGTGTCATAAAACGCATGAATGTACTAGGGGCATTGGAAAGACCAAATGGCATAACTAGCCGCTCATAGAGTCCATCTTTTGTCTTAAAAGCAGTCTTCCACTCATCTCTGGGTCTTATGCGTATTTGATGATATTCACTCTTCAAATCTATCTTTGAATAGATAATAGAACCAGCCATCATGTATAGTAGATCATCAAGGCGAGGAATAGGAAATCGATACTTGATAGTAATCTTGTTAACAACACGACTATCAACACACATACGCCAAGTACCATCTTTCTTCGGTGTAAGCAAAGCGGGGACAGCACATGGACTTAAACTATGGCGAATAGAACCTCTGGACAGCAACTCATCTACTTGTCTTTTAAGCTCGGCATGCTCACTTAGGTTCATGCGATATGCTGGGAGATTAGGCAATTGAGAGCCCGGTGCAAAATCTATTGCGTGTTGGACATTACGCATGGGAGGGAGCTCATTAGGCAACTCTTCTGGAGCTACATCAGAAAATTCGGACTGCAACTTTTGCACTTCAAAAGGAACATCAAATTTAGCAGCAACAAGCGATTTCTTCACTTCCTTAATCACTATAGCATAAATAACATTTGGGCCTTTGTTTTCCAATTCAAATTGTTTCTTTGACAGGATGTGAATAGGTCTTTGCTTGCCCTCAACAACACACTTGGGTTTCGATTCCTCATATTTTTTTATATCATCATGTGACATAGGCTTCAAAACAATAGTCCTCTTTCCAAATAGAAAAGTGTAGGTGTTTTCTCTTCCACAATGCTTGACATCTCGATCATAGAGCCAAGGTCGGCCAAGAAGGATATGAGTGACTTTCATAGGAATCACATCACATAATATAGAGTCACTGTATTTTTCACAAGAAAAAGAAACGAGACATCGTTGAGTTACTGGTATAGAAGTGTTATTAATCCAAGCTACTTTGTATGGTTGAGGGTGTGGTTCCACCGGAAGCTTAAGACATTCAACTGTGGATGTTAACACAACATTCATACAGCTTCCACCATCAATAATAAGCTTTTTAGCTTGATTTCCACAACGAACCAGCATCTGAAAAATAGAAGTGCGTCGCTAATCTTCTTGCTCCACTTTAGGGGCAGCTAGAATGCATCTCATTGCGGAAAGAAAAGAAGTATCCTCTTCGTCTTCCTCTAAATCATCAGCAATATATGCTCCATAATTAAACGAATTCTCTTCATTCGTATCCTCGTGTGGTTGCTCTTCGTTCTCATCTTCCGTCCCAATATGTAGGTTGTTCTTCTTTGGACATTGATAAACCATGTGTCCTGGCTCCCCACACTTGAAACAAACATTCCTCTTGTCTCTCCGGTTTGATTTATTAGTCATAATACCTTTACCTTTAAGATCAGCCACATTTGAGGAAGAAGCTTGTAATCCACTTGATTGATTGAATGGTTGATTAGGTGTTGTCCTTGAGCCATGGTTTGCATCATTAGGCCTCTTTATTGCTGTCTCCCCGGCTTGAAACCCCACTTTTCTAGTAGGAGGGTATCTCAAGTACTCTTCCATGTCAAGCGCCACTTGGAATGCATGCTCCACACTATATAGGGGTTGCCGAAGTAATTATCGCTTTAAATCAATCCGTAGACCAGCTTTAAATCGAGTTAGTGTTTGACAGGAATCTTCCAAAACTTGGCTTCGAGTCTTAAGTTCATCAAACCTTTGCATATATTCTACCACCGACATGCTGCCCTGTTTCAAATTAACTAATTGCTCACATAATTTATCATGATAATTGGCAGGCATATATTTCTCTCTAAACTTTGCCTTCATCTCTTGCCATGTGTTTATAGGAGGTTGTCCCAATCTTCTTATATCCCCTTCCACGCCAGTGCACCAAACTTT